GCATGATTATCTTTACTATTTTTAACATATCTAGACCGACTTCTATGAAGAATTTTTCTGTTAATCTTACGTCTAGGTACTCTAACAATGCATCTTTTTATTGCCTGAGAATGTTTTTCTTGAATATGAGTGACAATCCTTTGTCTTTTGCACATTTCAGAATTTGCTGGAAAACTTCACAATTTAGGCAGTATTGTGTAGCAATTCTAGACGCTTCTCTCATTCTCTACCAATTATCATGACTTGTTTTCTTTTGTTTTTTAGGTGCTTAGTAACTTGGCTGGATTAAATGCTACTAAATTTTATGTTCTCCTGTAAACTCTCTAATGATAGTTCTCAAAAGGTGCAGTCTAGTTTATGTGTATTTTCAGCCTGAGATTTTGTTTGAGGTCTTTTAAATTTTCCTTTTCCTTGACGAGTATTATCCAGTTACAGTATCACATTCAACTATTATGCTTATAGATTTTCAACTAATTGTGCTAATATTTCCATAATAATTTTGGATATCAATTACTTTATAATCTGAGTTCTTACTGCAAATATAAAATACATTATAATTAACTGTGGTCACTGTAATGTACATTAGATCTCCAAAACTTATTAACCTTATAATGAGAAGTTCACAGATTTGCCCAATGTCTCCTTTTCTTCACTTAGAAGACTTACATTATTACTGCTTTGTGAATTTGTTGAGGGAGTATGCATTGTTGGTTACACACATGCATAGAAACAATTACATTAAGTGGTAAGTTAATGAGGTAGATACAATCATGTTTCTGTGGTACATCTCAAAAATAAACTATTTTTGGCAGCTGTATCTCAACAAAGCAGAAACCTTAATAAATGTAGACTCATTAGCAAAGGGAGATCTTGAGGCCAGCCTTTGATATTTATTCTGTGCCCAGGAGGGTCATTCTCAGTTATTTTATCTTCTGCTTTTTTTCTGGTAAAACACCTGGCTGTTTAATTGGTTGCTTTCACAGAACAAAGAGGTTCTTCATAATTTCTCATCACTAAAACCTACATTGCTTTTTGAAAAAATACTATATCCTGAATTTTCTAGACACTATTCAAAATAAACTAGTTCATCTAGATATTTGGAATTTTATATTTATAGGCCTAGAAAATTTTGACAATAAATGTAGATAATGATTTTAGAGACTTTTCCAAATTAAAGTGGTTGTTACTTGTATTTAATCAGACACTGTAATACATTAAAAGTGATTGTATTTTTATTTTCAGTGTTGGAGCTGTTAGTAGTTGATCAAAAAGTTCTGATGTCATGTCATAGACTAATATTTGGCTGTCCTTGTTTGAAACATGGTGCCTCATAAGAAAATGACTGAAGGATATGAACAATTAATTTATCAAAAAAAAAGTCAAAAGATCAGTGTCTTCCATAGCAGCATGGGCTGAACCGACTTGTTCATAGCCACTGCAGGTGCAGCCATAACGACAGTCAGGCCTCCATAGGATTTGTACAGCAGAGTCAAATTCTAAGCTTTTAAAGTTCATATTCTACAGAAGGCTTTATTAGTAACCAAGTGGTATGTGGGCCAAACCACAGGCACGATTGCATTCACATTCCAAATTAACTGGCATTAAAGCCATACGAAATATTTCTCATAACAAGTATACCCAAAATAACCTTTCTGTTGGTCAGAATACCTTCCATAAATCATAGGCATTAATGAGAGATTCTTCTCCTTTGTTGCTTGCTTGTTTATTTCAAATGCCAGGTTGAGGGTAATCATTAGCTACCAGCAGACCATACAACACACAAGGATTCCTCTTATTAAAATTTCTGATTTATGTAATGATATTCTCCTTACTATATGCAAATATCATGGTTTAGCAACCAAATATGACTCAAAAGGGTGAGAACACTGAAGAGACTTCATGGTGGCATTATTAAAATTATTGAATATTCAGCTATTTTATTTCTTTTTGTGTTTAGAGAAATACTCACTTTGGCTTTTACTTCACATGTATACATATCGATCAGCTTGTCTACATTCTAAAACCATATTTAATATTTACCCTGAACATGCAGGAAGGAAAGGATTTACTCAACTGGAAACCTGAGATTGACAATAGCTCCAAAACTTTCAAAGATTTGTTGATGCCATGTACTCACTGGTGTGGAGCGTAGAAAATCTCACTTCTCTATGGCTTGCCAAAATGTGTAACTCGGATGTAATGATGATAAAACTTTAGACAAATTAGAATTGGAGAATGTTCTGCAAAATTGGAATCAAAGGCACAGATATTAAGAAAAGACTGAGAATATGACCAATTAGAGAAGACTGAAAAGATAAAGTAACAAAATACAAGGTGAGTTTGATGCTATAACAAAAAATAGAAAAAATCATTAAGAACGGTGAAGTCTATAGGTTAATGGTACAGTATAAAGCCAATGTATTTGGTTGATAAAAATACTATATTTTTGAAAGATATTAATATTAGGAGATCCTGAGTGATCTATATCTATATACATATCAATGTATTTACACTATTTATAGTATAACGGTGATCAATTTAACAGAGTTTATATCAACACTAGAGACTGTCAGAGGGGCAAAGCATTTAGCTACGCACTATCCGATTTGGTAGGAAAACATGAAGGGAACAGAAGAAAGGATATTTAGGGAAGAAAAGTTGGTGAGTTTGGAATTAAATCAAGTGTCATGTGGTAGAACAGATTTAAGTTGCAAAGTTTTTCAGGCGTCAAAGAATTTTTTAAATCTCTTTGTTACTCAGAACCTGAGAAAAGTTACCTCTGGATTTTTCAAGACTGAAATCTTGATGATACCTAGAAGAATAATTTCCTAGAGTAGTAAGAACCAAAGAAGATAGGTAGGTGGTTAGAATACTTTTAGGATGGTAGCATGAAAATTCACTTAGGAAGCTTTGCTAGAAAGCAGACTACAGAAATGATTATTATATTGAATATCAGAGGGGCTGGGGATTTAGCTCAGCGGCATAAGTGCCTGCCTTGCAAGCATGTGGTCATGAGTTCAATCCGTGGCACCAGTAAAAAACAAACAAAAAACAAAAACCCCTGAATATTGGAAGGATGATATGTAGCTTCTTTTCTAATTATGGATGTATGTAAAATGAGTATATTCAGAAATATATACTAGATAATATTTTAAAAAGAATGTCATGTGACATAGTACAAATTCCTACTGCAATGTTGAGGTAGAACAACTAAATTATTTGGAAGAAGGAAATTAATTCCTGGAAGTACAAAGAAAAAATATTACTAATAAATATTAGCAGGAACACTATGTTGAACAAAATAAAATGTACCAATATAAACTTTAACAAAATACAAAAATGTAATAATTTTTGCTTTTTAAATTGCTTTACACAACTCATTTTCATCAAACTGAGATGATTTTCTAGAATTTAAATTGCCTAGAGTAAAAATAATTCCTGTTATTTCCACCAGTTTTTAATAAAATTTAAGTTACTGTTCAATTGATTCTACACTATAAGAACTGAGGCTATTTGTATTTTTACATTAGAAATTTGAGTAAGAGAAAATAAATTTTTTTCATATTTCTCAGTCCAAGTAAATGGCGAGTAGTATGTAACAAATGCTAACCTATTTAACAAAAATAGGGAAAAAAGTATTCAAAACTATTATGGATAAATAAGGAGAGGGATATTTTGATTTAATTATTGATATAAAAATTTTTTGTTGGATTAGGGATTTTCTTTTAATATTTTAGAAGAGTCAGAATTTTAAGTGATCAAATACACGTTAGGTAATTTAGAGCTTATGTCCTCATCCTGTTGATCACTAAATAAGAGCTAATTCAAATATAGCACATGGCTAACATCTCAAAACCTCTTCTCTACCATATAATCCAGTTTCATAGACACATGTCAAAACCCTAGTTAGAGATATCAGAAGGGAAATAATGAAATAATGAAGTTAATGAAGTTATTGAAGTTAAATAATGAAATGATGAAATAATGTTTTTACCAGAAGGTATCTTAGTAACGTCAGAAATAGAATATCAGAAATCCATGTGGAAGAGTGAATAATGCTTCCTATCCACGTCTGTTAAATAAAACATGGAGAGATGTCTTTTTAAATATTACTCTAGGTCAATCGTCTCTGCTCTTCTTTGATTTTCCAGTAGGACAAGTAATCACAGTGCTCTAAATGATGACAGAGACAACTCTGGGGTCAGGGGTGGATGCCAGAGTATAAAGCATGCCAAACTGCTGTTTTGAGGAACAGTACTAAATCATTTACTGATGATCCAAAATGATAACTCAGTCAGTTAAATCATTATTTAAAATATTAATTAACCACTATAGACACAATTTAAAAACCAAGAAATGCAGAAATTGGATTCAACATATAGCAAATTTCTTTTACTTCAAAAGAAGTTGAATGTAAGTAGGAAGGTAGAATATGATTTTCTCAGACCTGATTCTTTTCGATTTTTAATTGGATGAATTGTTAGTACCCATATAGGTATAATAATTATATTTTGTTTCAATAAAGAAAAGGACCTTAGATATATAGGAAAATGATTTGGATGAAGAGAGAAAATAATTCTTAAGGCAAAATGAAGATTATTCTTGTGAAAGATTAAAAAGTAGGGAAACTCTTAGGGTCAAGAGCAAGAAAGATAATAACAAATAATAGTATACTTTTGGTAGATAATTGACAGTTACAGGATGTCCAATAATGCTCCATTTTGATGAGTTTGAAAATGTGCCCCCTCCCTCACTGAAAGTCCCAATTGGATCCTGAATGTAAAAACTCAAAGCAAAACTGTTTAACATTTTATGCTTTACTTTATGTTGAGAAACAACAAATAATTGGATTAGTCATATAATTGGCTAGTGATACGAGCACATGTGATGAGCGTCACACACATGCAAGACGTATAAAAGGCCCACAGCAGGGAGAACTGTCCAGACTCAAGTCACCTGCACTCCTCCTCTACCAAAGCACAGCCTCAGCACCCAACACCATGTGTGGCAGCTACTACAGAAACTACTATGGCGGCCGCGGCTATGGATGCTGTGGCTATGGAGGCCTGGGCTATGGCTATGGAGGCCTGGGCTGTGGCTATGGCTCCTGCTGTGGCTCTGGCTTCCGCACCCTGGGCTGTGGCTCTGGCTGTGGCTATGGCTATGGCTCCCGCTCCCTGTGTGGCTGTGGCTATGGATGTGGCTCTGGCTATGGCTCTGGCTTTGGCTACTACTACTGAGGCTGTCACGGAAGACTCTCACCTTATACAACTGATACCAAGATTCAGCAGTTCTGAACCCCACATGTTTTGAGTCTCATGTTTGGGGATTTTATTGTAGTGCATATTTCTGACAACTTGCCCTACAGTGCCATCTGGATCTGGTACTTTTCCTTCCCTAGATTTAATTGCTGAAAATGAAGAGAACTTGGAATTCATCTTGTGAACTCCTCTGTGATTTCTCATTGGGTTAATGACCTCACAACGTCTGCATTCTTGCTGTCTTGCAGGATTTATTTTACTGTTTTCCTAATAAATATTGTATTATTCTAAAATTAGCCTAATTCTCTATTTAACTTCCATTGTTTATGTGTTTCCCTGTTTGCATTAAAGAAAACTAAGGCCTTCTTTAGCATATATCTGCTTTAGTGTTTCTACGTTGTTGCCTTACCACATCTTTAATGTGTGACATGAAGAAGGCGACAATCTTTGAAGTCTTCAATTTTCTACTCTGTTTAAACAGTGATAATGTATGTTCTCTTGAATTTTTTACACTTTAGTTAAGAATGAGCTGGACATAGAGATTCTAATAAAGTTTTTCATATTAAGCATTAGTGTGTACAGAATTTCTTTCAAGGTACAAATATGTATGCATAAACTCTGCCTCAAATCTTTAGTTTTGGTGTGTTAGGCAAGAAGTATTTTTGTATGTGACCATCTTAACAAATAGAGAAGTTCGTGCTCCCACTTAACTTTTTACATGGCTTACTTTGGCTTCAATTTTGTTTTTGAAAAGTGAAGCCTTGGGACTGGAGATTTGGCTCAGGAGTGTAAGTGCCTGCCTGGCAAGTGCAAGGTTGTGAGTTCAATACTTTGTATGAAAAAAAAAAAAAAAGGTGAAGTCTTCCATGACACCGATGATGCATTTAAGTTTAGAATCAATTGAGGGCACCTGCATTCCTTGTCTTGAGATATTTGTTTCTTGTCATTCTCAATTTTTCCGTTTGTAGCAACAATCATTTGCTTTTTCAATTTTTTATGACTCCTGTCTCTAAACTTAGCAATGTATTTTTGTGATATGGGATTTCTATATCTCACATTGAACTTGAGTGAATTTAAATGCAACATTTAGCTTTTGTCTTTTTAAAAAAATTTACTAGTACTTATCTGCAATACATAATAATCACATTCATCATGGGGATTGGCACATGCATGTAACACATCTTAACTCACTCTTTATATTTATTTTAAAATAATAGCTATGATCTAACTTGTTTGGATAGGTTCATGGTTGCAAAACTGTTGATTCTACAAGAGAGAGTTAAGATTTCTGGAAAAATATGAGCCCAAGGCAGAATATATTTTCAAATTATACTTACATATGAATTATATTTCCCATTTACTTTATTTTCAACTCTTAGAATTTGTATGTAATATTAAGTACAACTTGCATGGTCTACAGTTACCTGCTTCAAAACATAGTAGAATTTGAAATTATCTTGGTCTGGATTATGGGCCATAGCCCCTGGCTGAGTCAATGCCTTAGATTACTAAGGCAATACTATTATTGACTATGCTTTTCTAGGATATGCATCTGTGTTTCGGTGCCAAATAAACCTGAATAGAATCTTTAAAGCTTTAAAAGTTTGAATTAAAACTTAGAAGAACATTATTAAAATTCCTATCTCTATATATATACGCATATATTATACATGGTTTATACATTGTATATATGGTTAATGTATAATTATTGATTTTTTCATTCACATTGATATTCTTCAATTATTAAAAATCAATTATATTTAAAAATCACATTGCTTTGTTAATCTTCCTAAAGTCATCAGTTTATGAATGCCTCCAACTGATATTGAAACTGCAATTCTTTAGTGCTTTACTCTGTTTTTGTGTCTTTCTCTTCATAATTGGGTAGAAACACTGCCTTAACAATATCACATTTATTCAATCTAGTAAAGCACACAAAATACTTTACAAACTACTACACAAACATGTGAAACAGATCTGCTTCTTAATGTCGTTTGGTAAATTATACTATCTCATTGAAATTGGTATTCTTGTATGAAAATTCCATAAAAAGACAGAACCTGCATTCTACTGTTGTAATGAGATGTAAATTTATTAAAATATCTAAAGTTCTGGGACAATACTTGGTGTTTACTGAGCACAAGTTTTTACTGTTATATGCATGGTTTACTTTTTGATTCTCTGCATTTAAAGAATAATTTAAGCCAAATTTGACATTTCTAAAAATAATTTTTGGTACCAGAGATCAAACTCATGACTTTGTACTTACCAGGCAAGCACCTTAGCTGGTGAGCTAAATCTCCAACCTGATGTGTGTTGTTAGTAAAAAATTTATATATTAATAATTTGTGTATAATCTGAATAATTATAATTAAACATTCATTAGTTGTTTACTGTTTCTTTTTGTGAAGTTTTTAATGTACCTTCTTTGCCTTCAGATAAGTCCGTTGTCCCAGCCTGGGAGACCCTAGAGGGGGAGTGGGGATGAAAAGGGAACAAGAGACACAAAGGATGGAGACAAGGCGGTGAAGTCTGATCAAGTCTCATTTATTCAAGGAATGAGTAACAAATATATAGGGTATTGAGGAGGAGGGATTTGGGTTCTGAGATGTTAACAGGTAACTTAGCAACAGTGGCAAGACCAAGGGTTATAGGTCAATTCAAATTTCCTGAGCTCAGGCTTGTAAGGCGGACTGATTAGCATAATTCCTGAATAGGCCAAACAGGCGAGGTAGGCAAGGCGCTGCTTAACTTCCAAACTTAACTCCTAGAGGGAGTTAAGGTGATGCAGCCTGCAGATATAAAGTAGCAGCCAAATTACAGGACTTCCCACAGTCCCGCTCTTATATGAATGAAAGTTAATAATCTCAAAGCCATATTAAAATTGTCTCTATTTTACACAGTTTAATAGAAGTAAAAAGAAATGAAGCATCTTTCTTTTAGGTTTAGCATGCTAAAATGTTTTGCACTCACTTGTGAGTTGTGTCTTTGTTTTTGTAAATCAATATTTATATTGGAGAGTTCTAGAATATACTCATATCATATACGATACGAATTTATCATATACGATAAAACAATTTTTGGCAATGGTACTGGCATGATGCTGATAAAATATAGTTTTAATAACTACAGTTGGGAAAACTGGATATTCACACACAAAAGCATGAATTAGAATCTAGAGAATCTGGTCTTATATCATGGTCAAAGTGAATTAAAGTCTTAAATATAAGATTTCAGACCCTCAAACTTGTGTCAAGATGTTGGAGAGCATTGAAGCTAAATAGACATGCAGGTTTGTGGTGTGACCATGCATGGCTGAACTGAGAATGAGACCCCTCAGGTTGCCAGACAGGCTGGAGCTGAGGCCACTTGAGACTTTCTGGATAGTTTTCCTTAATTAGCATTGTCTGTTGCTCTGAGGGGTCCTTGCACCCCTCCCAAGATCCTGTTCAAGTGTCCTCCACTGTGTACTTAACTCCTTGCTTGTTATGATTACATACGCGCTGCCTAGCTTCAGTCAGCTGGCTGGCTAGCAGAGTTACAAGCTCTGCAGAGGATTTCACTCCTCCTGCAGCCCTAAAGACCATGCCATGTGTCTCATTCCTTTGAACCTTTGTGGTACATCTATTTGGGAGTTTGGGGGCCTAGGTACAGACCCCAACATTAGGAAACATACAGATGAAAAGGAATAGGGAAGTAGGTTAGGAAATGGGAAGGATAAAAATGGAAAAGGAAAAAATTCAAGTTAGTTATAGTACTAGTCTCTAGTATATTGAAAAGGAACATTCGTGCTAACATAGATTAGAGAATTTTTATACTCATATCTTGTACTCTGAGTAACTACATTAAAGATGACAATATGCAATACATTAACTGTTCTTGTTCTCCTATCATTTTTGTTATGAAATTTTGTTTTACCTTTTTTCCATTAAAAAAAAAAAAAAAACGGTTGATATTGGCTTGGGCAATGAATTTCTGGATATGGTTCCAAAGCACAGCTAACAGAAACAAAACTAAATGGAACTAGTGCAAAAATAATTCTATATAACTGCTTTTCTTTATTAATTTCTCACACATGTGCAGGTATTTTAAAATTATTGTCTACTCTTATTTCCTGAAAATATTTGGAAACGGTGAATTACATTATTTTTATAGTTTTCTTGTAAAATCAAATTAAATGCTATTTTCTTCATAAAATATATATTTTGATAGAATATTTAATGCATCTCTATGCAGTATTTGATGGTGCCTATTTATGAACCTTATAGTCATCATTCCAACTGTACTGATGAATTCATATTGCAAGCTCTGAGATGCTCAGAATGAGATGTTCACACATCCCCCCCCCCTCAGAAATGAAGATAAACAAATATGTGTGAAACTATGCCATGTGTTTACAAATGAAGTTACAATTAATGAAAAAGAAATGAAAGATTTCTAAGATTTCATTCATGCAAATACATAGAGTAGATGAATATTCTGAACCCAAAATCCTTCGCTATTTCAGAAATTCAGTTAATCCCATAGTCTTTTCCTATGCTTGGTCTGGGATAGGATATTAGTGCTACAAGAAAATAGCACCTACAGAATCCTTGTATAATAGGATACATCAAGCATCGACAAATAATCTAGGGCATCCCAATAGAAAACAGGAGCCAGCATTTTCCAAAGCAATAAGAGTTACGCCACTCATATGCATAGTTACTACAGCCTTAGACAGCGTGACCACAGTCCACATAGGCATGGCAGCCATAGGCTACCATAGTCACTGCCATAATATGCATGTGGAATCAGAATGAAAGGTTCAGTTTAAGAATTATTTTTGAGTTTGAATTTCTTAACCTGAATGTTTATGGACAATCTCATGAAAGCATCGACTCATTTCCAAACTAATGGACATTAAGAGAAACCTCAAGAAGCCAATATTCTAAGGACTCTAAGAATTGAGTGCAGACGCTGATGAAGAACCACATGCCTGTAACACCAAAAATATAGTATAGGCTGAGTTAAGAAGGTCATCACCATGTGATATTACACAAAATAAACCCCATTCTTCTGTGTATTAGTAATCACAAATCATTGGTTTAAAATCTCATTTTCTCTTCATGGGGAATCCAAGAAAATAATAGGCAGAAGTGTGTGGAGGAAGAGTCATACAGACAGGATTAATTAATGAGTGTGGACAGTATACTTTACATGTGACAAAAGGATTTATGATCTTGTATAAGAAGAATTTTCTTCAGAATTATATTTCATGTAGGATCCTAGGTATCAGAGCCCCATTTTCCCCATTTTGTTAGTGCACTGTTTCCTATGTTCCCTTTATATTTGGAAATACTAATTCCACTCCAGGTTAAACCCTAGGCACTCAGAGAATTAATTTGGGAATCAGAGATTCACTTGCTCAGTGTGCAGACGATGGTCCTCAGTTCAAGCATATATCACACTTCACACTAACGATATTTTCACACTTACTTCCACATACTCTAAACTATTTAAATTGCCTAAAATTACAAAATTACAGCAGTAGTAATTTAACAATGATTTTTCTCCTAAGTCTAGCATCCCTTATCGAGTCTTAAAATGTATTGAATATATCAAAATTTTATTTTTATTTACATGATCTTACTACTGGATTCATCTCTCCATAGATAATATAGTTTTCTAAAGAAAGACAAGTACATCGTAAACTTCACATTATTCTTCCTGCTACAAAGCACTAACATGTGCATAAATCTTTTCATTTAATTCATTAAATATGTTTGTTTTCCTAATTGTGAAAACATGTGGAAGGCAGTTAAAAACAAGCTATCAAAATGAAACTAGGAACCTGTAGTCTGAAAGATAGGTGAAATTGTAAGTAATAATTATTAAACTTTAATGAACATGGCCTTCTTAAAAATAAAACATATACATATAATTCCAAATTTTGTGTAGACTTCATGATTTTAGAATCTCTGATTTTATTTTCTTAGACCTTAAACATAAATAAGAAACACTTGTATTACTAAAATATCATATAAAAGCTTTTTTACATTATTGATCTTTAAAATTTTTTCATTTATTCTTAAAACCTCCACTTTATGTTGAAAATGCATTTTAAGCACACAGGCTGTAGAACAAAAAGTCATTAAATCTACCCTATAATGTTTTAGATTTTATTTTAGTAGTGCAGGCTTATCGTATGTGAAGTTTACATTTGTCTTGGGGAGTAGACGCCTGTATATACCCCAGTTGTTTCCTTTATCATTCTCTCTCCCTTCTCACGGGTCTCTCTTCCTCCATCTCTGAATCTCCTTTCTCTGCTTTCAGTCTTTTTAAAATTATCCTGCTTAGCTCATGCAACATTTACCTTACCTGTAGTTATTTGGTAGCTTAAATCTTCTCCCATCCCTTTCCCCTTCCTCTCTTTTCTTGCTTTCAGTCTCCTGTACCCTTTATCGGGTCCTGACCTAGATTCCCGATCTCCTAAACTAGTGTATGGCCAAGGTTTAAATAAAATGAGACAAGTGGTATGATTTTAGGGCTCCAGGAGTGTCAAAACCCTTTAGCTGAGCTGGAGACTCCAAGGGCTAAGACAAAGACTTCTCTGGACTGCCCACTCTAATTAGGCCCAACAAGGGGTGGGGAAACTGAGGCAAGCACAGGCAATGAGCAGGACCTTGGGAGTCACTTCAAGGATGTCTCCAAGTAATGAATCTAGTCAGTTCAGTAGAACTGCCTTATCATGAAGACACGGTAGGAGTGAGACAGTAGGAGTGATTCCTGCAGCTGCAGTCTCTATCTGCTTGATTGAGGTTTGAGCCAAGTGTCCGCAGCTGTGGCCTTATCTTGCCCTTTGAGAGATCTCTGGCCTCACAGGCCACTACAGGCCTCAGCCAGGACCAGTGATTCGTAGAGATTCACTTACTATGAATCAGCTCCCATCACCAGGCAAGGGGCCAGGGCCTCGGACAGACTCACAAATAAATATATAAAGCAAATTGATAAAATTTAAATCCTGTTCAGAACCACTGAGTAGTGGTCTCCAACACCACTTCCCATTTTCAAGAGATCTATCGCATTGTTTCCTTCAATCCATTCTTTATTTTTCTCTTTGTACTTTGCCTTACTCAAATGAGGGATATAATACAGTATTTGAGCTTATTTGTATGCTTTATTTTTGTCAACATTATGTTTTCCAGAGGAGTCTACTTTCTCGCAAATGTCTCAAATTTATCCTTCTTTATAGTTTAAGAGTATTGCATTATGTATAGATATCATGCTTTCTTTATCCACGTGTATCTTAATTGGGGTAAGATGGACAGTGAAAGACAACAGGCAGGCATGTACTGAACTTAATATTTTCTAATACTGATAAGGATTTGTAGAATAATTATAAACTAATGAATTAAATAACTTTAAACATCAAGTGATCAGAAGACCTATGCACATGACACTTGGTCACCTGAATAAAGAAAATTCAGCCATAGTTAGTCCTATTTTAAGAAGTATCTACAGACCATGTCTAAAGACTTCAAGAGGACACAACTCGTTGAGGCTGAGCTGCTGGAGAAACACTACACTTGGGTGCAGTAAACTGGAAAGCAGTAGCAGATGTTGGCAGGGAGGTAGGGTAGAATATTAGAGGATATTTATTCTACATGTAATGGAAGTTTAAGAAGGGCATACACTAAGGGAAGGCTATTCGGTGATTCTTGTTGTGCTGTGGAAAGAGAAAACATTTGTCATTAAAAAGAACCATAAACTATCTTGGTGGTGTTAAACTTCTGATGGTATTAAATAAAAAAATTAAGTTATCCATTATGAAGAGTTGAATATACCGTAAGAATAAAAACAAAATTAACTGAAGGCTAAGAGCAGTCTTTGAAATTGAGGTTAAATTATCGAAAATGTTTATGTTACTTGAAAAAAACTTGGAAGGGAAAGATATTTCAATATTCTAAAGGATACTAAGGGACGATCTGCCATGAAAGAGTTTAAGTAACCTGAATTGTGTTTCAGAACATCAATAAAATGAAGAGAGATGAACAAACCGTACTTGGGTCAGGTGAGACTCGCCAGGAACACTTTCATTGGAGTGAAGTTTCAAAAAGTCTGAGTAAATGTAAGCTGATGAGAAAGTACAGCAGAAATACCAGACGTAAGTTGTAGAAATTTTCCATAAAGAAGAATAATGAAACTGGGAAGCGCCTTGAGAAATTCAAAGAATTTTCTGAGCAAAATATTTGTTGGTTATTTGCTTTTGCTTCCACAGTAGATAATGAAGCATTGATTATATTTCATAACATCAGGGTTTTTAAACAGAAGGAAAAACATTTTTTAAAAGAAGGACATGATGTATAAATAGAGTACAGGGATTTTCACAGTGGTGAACTGCCTTGTGCAGTGTTCTAATGCTGCATATGTATGATTAGAGATTTGTCAAAACCACAGAGCAACAACGAAAAGAATAAGCATGAAGGTAAACTATATGCTCTAAGTGAAGGTGGCATGTCAGTGTAGGTCCATCTGTTCTAATAAACGTACCATGCTGGTGGTACTAAAGAACAAAGAAAAAGAAGGTTAAAGCAAACAAATAAAAAACAAAAATAATGAAACTGTGCCTTATATACTGTGTATGTAAGGCACTCCTTGAGTGTAAAAGAAAATGTCAATTTTCATAATAAGTGAGGAATACCTGAAAAGAAATTGCAATAAAAATTTGTGAAGGAAGCTGTTTTTATAGTATTGAATACCAAAGTACAAAAATAAAACACAAAGTTGTTTGTGTTTAGAGATGTGGTTGGCATAGGCTGGTGGTCTATACAATTTTTAATAAGTAATCTCTATGTTAATGTTGTTTCAAAGAAGAATGACAACAATTGTCTCATTGAATTTTTTTGAGTTGGTAGGACAACTGAAGTAGCTAAAAAATGATTTTTAAAAAATAGTAAGCAAAACACATTAGTTAAAGTGACTTTTGGCCATAACAATGACTATAGATAAGTGTTTTGACAAACTCAAGTTAAAATTGGCTTGTAGTAAATGCTACTAACAGAAATAATGCATATTTATAAAAGTTAAAATTAATCTGGAGCGTAGTAGCATGCTTTGTATGCATGCGTGTCTCCACTGATTATGGGTACTAAATTGTTTCAGAGAAGCCCTCATTGGTCAAAGGGAACAAGCTTCCTTAATAATTCTAAGGCTTTATCTAGCGGTTAAAAGACAGCAAACTAATTAGATGAATCATAAATGGCATGAGTATGTGTTGTGGTTCCCACCCACATCAGTGTATAAAAGGCCCACAGCAGGGAGAACTGTCCAGACTCAAGTCACCTGCACTCCTCCTCTACCAAAGCACAGCCTCAGCACCCAACACCATGTGTGGCAGCTACTACAGAAACTACTATGGCGGCCGCGGCTATGGATGCTGTGGCTATGGAGGCCTGGGCTATGGCTATGGAGGCCTGGGCTGTGGCTATGGCTCCTGCTGTGGCTCTGGCTTCCGCACCCTGGGCTGTGGCTATGGCTGTGGCTATGGCTATGGCTCCCGCTCCCTGTGTGGCTGTGGCTATGGATGTGGCTCTGGCTATGGCTCTGGCTTTGGCTACTACTACTGAGGCTGTCATGGAAGACTCTCACCTTATACAACTGATACCAAGATTCAACAGTTTTGAAGCCCACGTCTATCAGCCTCAGGCTTCAGTGAAGATTGTCCTGTAATGGGAGCTCCTGTGGGTTGCTATGACCTTTGTGAATCCTAGTCATTGCCTCCTGTAGGAGACTGACCACATGAAATTCTTTGGAGATTTCACAACTCTGGTCTCCTCAGTGTGATGGCTTCAGAAAAACTGCCTTGATAACTTTCATGAGAGAACTTGTTTCTTTGGCCCAAATAAACTTCTTCAATCTAAAAGGACTTCTTGTCAATCATTTCATATATAATATTACTTATACTTTTTAATATCAATTTTCAGAAAATACAGCAGCTAAATTTCTTTGGAGGATATTTTTCCCTACTGTCTTAGATTGGTTTCTTTGCTAATTCAGGGTTCACTTATATTAAAAATGTAACTGTCTTTCTGTAAAATTCATTTTTTTTTACTCTTCTTCTGAGGGAATAATAGGTGTTATGCTGTTAGCCTGCCTGTAAGAGTCCATCAAGTAGTATTTGTATCTTTGTTAAGCATTTCCTGGCTTATAATAAAATTAATACGAAGGCTAAAAACACAAGTTGAAATTCAGCAAAGATTTATGAAACCTTTAAAAATATTGGAAGGAAATGTTTCAATGATGTAATAGACACTAAGTGACAATGTGTCATGAAAGACTTTTGCACTTGGAGGATGGACCACATTTTGCATTCAAACTTTCAAGTGCAGAAACAGAATGCTATGACTCAAATCTTAAGTGTCCCACAGAGGTTCACAAGTTAAAGGCTTTTTCCTCACTTCGTATTGCTGGAGTGGTGTAAAAAGGGCGTTTCTGACTTCAGTTTCTGCCGTCCTCTCTTTCTTTCATTTTTTACCCCGTCACTTGTTACTGAAATTATTTGTTACAATTCCAGAGTCCAAAAATGAAGGAGGCAACAGCTGAAAAGGTGGAAGCGGAATTAGCATTTATTCCTTATAAGTTTATTTATCTCAGATATTTGTTTAGAGATGTGAATCTGACATAAAAGCAGGGCCGTATTCCCCAGAAGTTTTCTTAGTTGGAAGGATTTTAATTAAAAGTCATATTTTTAATTAGTTACGAGGCTATCCAGATATTTACTTTTTGAGAATGTTTGGCACATTCTATCTTTTATAGAATCTATTAAGTTTCTCTAAATTGTTGAATTTATGGGCAAAGTTGTTCTTTTTTTTTTTTTTTTTTTATTGGTACCGGGGATCGAACTCACGACCGCCTGCTTGCCAGGCAGGTGCTTATGCTGCGGAGCTAAATCCCCAGCCCTGGCAAAGTTGTTCTTTGTCTTCACTAATTATCTTTTCTGGATTGTAGAATCTGAAATGATGACCCATTTTTACTTCTGCTATGGGTAAAATGTGTCTTTCCTCATTTCTTTGTGATTTGTCATCACAATTGAGTTTTATATACCATCAAATTTTAAGTTTGTTACTTTTGTATATTCATTTTTGGTTTTAAATTATTTGACATAGAAAATTAAACGTTCACAGTATACTCAGTGTTTATATTTTGCCACATTAGCTAAAAGTTATAGCAGGGAATTGTAGTGCACACCTGTAATCCTAGCACTTGGGAGGCTGAGACAGAAGGATTTCTGTGATTCCAGGCCTGCCTAGGCTACAAAATGAGTTGCCAGCTTGGACTTCATAGTGAAACCCTGTTTCAAAAAGACAAAAAAAAAAAAAAATGAAATTTCAAATTTGGAATCTGTTTAGAGTTGTCACTGTTTGACACAAATCATAGCTATTACAGAAAAACAGCTTCCAACCCTCCTCATTCAATAGTATGTTTAGTTTCCACAGTAGCATGGATTTTTAAAGAATTTAAAGCAAAAAAAGAGGTGTGTTTTTTTAACCAATTATTCATAATTTTATATTTCTTTGTCTTGATTTCTCACATCCAAAATAAGCCATTAGTATAATTTCTCTGTAACCTGAAGAATTTTGTTTAGAATTTCATTTAGAGAAGTTTTGTGGACACAAATTCTTTAAGTTTTTATTAATTAGAGAAAAATTTTAGTCCACTTTTTTCCTAAGAAATATTACAGTTTGGTCTAGAATTTTGAACTTTTTATTAGCACTGTAGTTATATTTTCCACTCCTTTTGAACTCTATATCACAATCACAATGGATTATTTATATATAATATGTTTTTTATCTCCAGCTCCATTCAGCAATTTTCTTCTGATTAAATTAACAACCTTTAAACTCTATATATTTCTTTGGCCAATTTTCAAAATCTAAGTCATCATTTCTTTAGATTTCTGCTTCAATTTATTTTTGCCTTTCAACTGATATTAAAAGGCTATGAATATTTACATATTCTTGAAACTAAATTGACATTTTAAAATCTCATAAAAAGCATGAATATTGAATGCCATCAACATGTTCTAAAATTACACACACAATGGATTAAGAAAAAAATGGATTTTCTCTGTCTCAAAAAATTGGTTAAGGCATGTGTGTGAAAGGCAAACGTCCGGTGAATTTAAACTTCTGAACCTCTTGTTCTAGGAAACCATAGGAAATACTTGAAGAAAAGGTGCAAACTTAAAAAACAAAAATAGAAAATCATATGTCAACAGTCTTATTTAAAGGGATTTCACGATTGTACTAGTATCATTTGGGGAATTTTTATGCCCACCTATTCTATACTAAGCAACTACTTTGATGATAACAATACTCAATTTATTAACTATTGTTATTCTACTATTATTGTTTATGAAGTGCTGTTTTATTTTTTTCCACAAAATATAAAAAACTTTTTATTTTGCTTAAATAGCATTTGAAATATAATGTTTTCAAACAAGGTTTAATCAATTGACAAATATTGTTTCCTTTAATTCTGAAACAATTCTTCACAAAACATGTTTTTCTTTTTTCACCAGAGTAGAAAATTAAAAGTTAAAAAAGTGATTGTTTTTTAATGTCACAGATCAAGGATTACCTAAAGTATACTTTTCCATATTTATGTTTTAGCAAATTCACTTTTGAGAAATAGACAAATACATAATGTTTACAAATAAAAAGATCATAATAATTATTTAATTCAAAGAAGATAAAAAATTAACAGTAAGTTTTAAGTGAAAGAGAGGCATTTTTTAAAAATTTCAGATTGAATACATTTATTGGAAAAATAGAGAAAATATTCCTGCATAGAAATAAAAAATAATCTGTGATAGCATTATACTAGTAGACACAATACAGTCATGTACAGTATTAAATCTCACTTCATCCTACTTTTTCCAAGTTAAATGCAATAAAGGATAAATTTAGGGTACCAGATCCAGAGGGCATGGTTTCTGTAACATTGCTTATATAAGAGCATCACCCAGCTCCATGTAAAGATCAGAATACGTAGGGTTCAGAAACTTTCACTGAAACAGACCAAAAATTATTGCTAGGAAATTCTGAATATCAAATGAGAAGAATGAAAAGTAGTCTTTTAAAAACATTAAAGAATTTTATTAGGTTAACAGGAAAACAAATTTTAGCATGAAAGTTAGCAAGGCAGTTACTGTGACCCCATCATCCCGGTGGAGCAGAAGTGACAGGGGAATTTCATCTTAACCCAATTCAAGAGGAAAATTCAAGGAATTGCTTGGATCCACATAGGTTACAGCAGCTCACAGGAGACACCTATTGTAGAATCACCACCATATAAGGACGAGGCTCAGGCATGTGGGGTTCAGAACTGGCAAATCTTGATGTCAGAGGTGCAAAAGGTGAGAATCTTCCTCAATAGTAGTAACCAAAGCCAGAGCCATAGCCAGAGCCACATCCATAGCCACAGCCGCACAGGGAGCGGGAGCCATAGCCACAGCCAGAGCCACAGCCCAGGGTGCGGAAGCCAGAGCCATAGCAGGAGCCATAGCCACAGCCCAGGCCTCCATAGCCATAGCCCCGGCCTCCATAGCCACAGCATCCATAGCCGCGGCCGCCATAGTAGTTTCCGTAGTAGCTGCCACACATGGTGTTGGGTGCTGAGGCTGTGCTTTGGTAGAGGAGGAGTGCAGGTGACTTGAGTCTGGACAGTTCTCCCTGCTGTGGGCCTTTTATATGTCCCACTTGTGGGTGGGACCCACTACATGTGCTCATGTCATTTATGATTCATCTAATTAGTATGCTGTATTTAACCATAAAATAAAGCCTCAGATTTATTAAAGGATTTGTTTTGTTTGCCTCTCATTTGCATCACCCTTTTCCAATTTAGGGTTTAAATAAAAGGAGACAACATACACTTATATAATCCAACCTCAAACAAACCTTTCATATTAACCTTCTGTAACTATTGTCTGTATAACTGAAGAATGCTTTTTTTAGCCACAATGTTATTTGTTATGATCTCAGTAGTTTCATTAATTTAAACAAATATTTCACAAGAACAATGACTCATGATTTTTCTTCTTTCAGTGGAAACTAATCTTCCTGTGGAATTCAATTCCTTTATGTCTGGGTTACTTTTTTCTTGTTGCTGTGACAAAAAAACCTAACACCCTAAATGAAGGGAAGAATGTTTTATTTAGCTCCCAGTGTGTGACGGTTTTAGTCCATAATCAGCTGGTTGGAAGGCAGGGTGGCATGGCTGAGGGGCAACACTTCAGGGTGGCAGCTAGCAAAAGCAGCCAGAGCAAAAAGGGAATGGCAACAAAGTTCTTCTTCCTTACCTTGTGTGTAGGCCACCCCACCTCCCCATCCACGGGTGAGTGTGGCACCACACTACCTCTGGGCCCTCCTCTTGCACAGGCTGAGAATTTTTATAAAGAATCCTGGCTCTCTGCTTACTGTTTTAGTTAAATTAGTCTCTTAGTTAAATTCCTAAACTTCTCAAATTGACACAATGTATCAACCATAATAATTTGCTATCCTAAAAGCAAATATATCTTTCATCCCTAGGTTGATGATGATAATCTAACCAACTAGTATTTCTAGAAAACGAAATTTAAGCGAAACATATTAGGATTTTTTTAAATTAAGTATATTGGTACATTTTAGATGTTCATAATGGTGGCATTCATCATAAGAAACTTGTACCTGTGTGTGAAATACCTAATTTTCTCTTTTATTAGATCCCATCTATCTCCCTTTCGATACTTCTTCCCCTCTTTGCTCTCTCCTCATTTAGTTTGATTTTTATTGAAGTAGTATAAAATACAAGCTTTTTCCTGCAATTCAGTAGGGTCACTTATTTTTCCATGTTGACTAGGTAATGATATATTCTGATAATAAC